TAAAAATCTATTTACTTTTAATGGTCACCCAGAATCAGAATAAATCAGAACCAAATGCACTGTGGAATAAAAGGGTCTTAAGTGTTTTGTGGCATAGCATAGCATAGCATAGCATAGCATAGCATAGCATAGCATAGCATAGCATAGCATAGCATAGCATAGCATAGCATAGCATAGCATAGCATAGAGTTGGAAGGGACCTTGGAGATCTTCTAGTCCAACCCCCTGCTCAAGCAGGAAACCCTGGCCTATACCATTTCAGACAAATATGAGGAAAGGCTAATTCTGGGGGGTGGGAGGTGGGGGGGAATGGGTATTTTCCAAAGCATGGAGATGATGATAGAGGAGGTCCATTGTCATGCCCACTCTCCAGAAGATCTCAGAAAATGTAATGGGGGTTACATCAAGGGTAATAATGACAGTAAAATAGAAATCAATAAAAAGGAAGCAGTGGGGTTTTTAAAGAAAATACTCTTTCTCAACTCAGAAGGGACTAAAGCAGAGCGAAGCTTCTGTTCCTCTGCCTGAGGCTGACTGTTGCCTTCCCTGTTCTACTGATCTGCATTAGGGATTGATACATATTAGTTAAATAAATCAGAATGGTTTCCTTTGGCTCCCCTTTCAACAGAACAAAGGGCTCTTCAAAGCAGATGCATGGATATCAACATGATTAATGTTTCATACAATCAAATAGAGGACACAAGCCTCCCGCTAAATTTGCATAGCTCTCAGCCTCTTTTCTAAACCCTCTTACAAGATATGGGTTCAAAGCATTGGCGAGATGTCACTCCCTCTTTCCTGGAAATGAAATTGAGAATTTCATGGGAAAGCATGGGGAAAGGTATTGGAAAATTGTTCCCACTTCTTTTTGTTCTGGCCTTACCCACTGCTTTATTTTACTCCCAGTTACTTGAATTATGCACCCTCTGCCACAGCTCATTCCAGTAGGAAAATAAATCTCTGGGAAACTTATAATTAAATGTACAAAACAAAAAAGAGTGGAAAATGGAATCATGAATGGCCTTGTATGTCAAGAATATAAACTGAAAAATATGGAATTAAAAATCAGTCTGGAATCTAAATCAGAACCAACATTGAAAATGTATAAATTTGTATTTTTTCTTATGTTAAACAGACATTGTAATTTGCAAGCCAAAGCTCTCCAGTTAAATTTTCTGTTCAAGCAATTTAATAATGATGATGATGATGGTGGTGGTGGTGGTGGTGGTGGTGGTGGTGGAAGGGACCTTGGAGGTCATCTACTCCAACCCCCTGCTCAGGCAGGAAATCCTATACCATTTCAGACAAATGGCTGTCCAGTCTCTTCTTAAAAACTTCCAGTGTTGAAGCATTCACAGCTTCTGGAGGCAGGTTGTTCCATTAGTTAATTGTTCTGTCAGGAAGTTTCTCTTTAGTTCTAGATTGCTTCTCTCTTTGATTAGTTTCCATCCGTTGCTTCTTGTCCTGCCTTCAGGCGCTTTGGAGAATAGCTTGACTCCCTCTTCTTTGTGGCAACCCCTGAGATATTGGAATACTGCTATCATGTCCCCCCTCGTCCTTCTCTTCGTTAAACTAGACATACCCAATTTCAGCAACCGTTCCTCATATGTTTTAGCCTCCAGTCCCCTGATCATCTTTGTTGCTCTTCTCTGTACTCTTTCTAGAGTCTCAACATCTTTTTTACATCGTGGTGACCAAAACTGGATACAGTATTCCAAGTGTGGAATCCCATGCTTCAGAATTTAATGCTTCAGAATTTGATGGATCCCATGCTTCAGAAATATCTTTTGATGGATGTATAAGGAAATTAGGCAGATTTTTGACATCTCTTTCTAACTAGTGAGCAGGCACTTCTACAATCACTACAGGTAGTCCAGGGCTTAATGATTGTTCAAAGTTATTACACCCCCCCCCAAAAGGGACTTATAACCCAGATTTGCCTCCCCACCCATGGTCACATGACCGCATTTTGGCCAACTGGCAACCAGCCATATTTGTGGCTATTTTCAGCATCCTATAGTCACAGGACCACAATTTATGATGCTTTTGTTGGAAACCAACATTTACTTCTGGTTTCCAGCAAAAAAAAGCCCTATAGCAAACAATGGGTTTGTTTAATGATTATGGTGTTCACTTAATGACTACTGCAAAAAGGTTATGAAGTCCGGTGACCTACTTAACAACTGTCATGACTTATGACCAAAATCACAGGCTCAATTATGGTTATAAGTCAAGGACTACCTGTAGTAGTAACTGCAAAAATAATATACTTCTAAATATTTCTGGTTGGCAAATATCAGGACAGTTGAGCCTTTTAAATCAGACTTTCTAAAATTCTTGGCTAATTATCAAGGATTCTGAAGGTACAAAACATCCATCAACAATAATCCACGTGGGGATTCTGATGGATGTTTCTTTTCAATCTGCCTTAATTGCTGTTATTAGTTCTAACCTTATATCTTAAATCATACCCCACTCATCATTTGAATGAGTCCCAGTTGACCTGTCAATAAAGATAACAATTTCCCAGTGAATTTGGAAATTGCTTAGTTAATTGCTCTACCATTTATATTTAGCCAGAAATCATGCACAACCTTGTGAGGTAATTGCAATTAGTACTGTAAACGTCATAACCATTTAAGAGTACTTGGGGCACACTGACCTTGTTGTTCCTTATGGATGTATGGAACAAAGTCTCAAGTATTTTTCACACAAGCCATCTACAGTAGTGTGTTTATAATTAAGAGAGCTTTTCATGCTAATTTTCTGATTATGGAAATAAGAAGCCCAAAGATGCCAGGGTGCCTTTTTCCTTTGCCAGTTTCTGATTCACGTAAGGTGCTCAACATTGGCTAGTTCACGTGAGTTCAAGTAGCAATGAGTTTCCCATAACCAACATAGTGACTGTCCAGTGGGGGTACTGCTATATTTTAGTTATGATTCTACTAGAAAAGTAACAGCTCTATTATAGTTCTGGATGCACTAAATACAAAGAATTCAGGAAAGAAAACATTTTATAAAGCTTTCCCAGGTATAAGGAAAACTAACTAGCTGTTTCGACTCCAATTTCTGCAAAAATCAGAAACTGTACTGTATAAAGAAATGGAGAGTATGTTGTGCTTACGTTGCTCTATTTGATGACTTAGCAAAGAGGAAACAGGCATTGTGCTGGACCAGTTATGTAATCATCTGGCCAGAATATATACTTGAGATCTGTATGTTAGAATGTTTGGCATTTAAAGGGTTAGACGCTGTTTCCTTAAGATATGGCTTATGGGTAATGTAGTTTTATCTGTCAGTTAATGTTTTGGTTTAGTTTGTTAAGTGGGAGGAGCTTAAAAGTTTATGATTCTTCTTCCTCCTGGCTTTGTGCCTGCTTCGTATCATTCTCCTCGCATGGCTCCCAGCTACATGGGCTGGAAGCGCTGTGTGATTTGTATACATGATGGGAAAAGCCATTAACTTTTTACTATCCTGCCCACACAGATTAAATGCTTCACTATCCACATGAGACAAGCAGTAGTTACTCAAATGAACAGATCAAAGATTACTTTCATTCACAGGTATTCTCAATCAGTAACTCACGATTTACAGCTGAAATTCTTCCGGAATACAATAGTAATCGGGATCCATTTCATTAGGTAAAAAGTTAATGGCTTTTCCCATCATGTATACAAATCACACAGCACTTCCAGCCCATGTGGCTGGGAGCCATGCGAGAAGAATGATACGAAGCAGGCACAAAGCCAGGAAGAAGAGTCATAAACTTTTAAGCTCCTCCCACTTAACTAACTAAGCCAAAGCATTAACTGACAGATAAAACTACATTAGCCATAAGCCATCTCTTAAGGAAACAGCATCTAACCCTTTAAATGCCAAACATTCTAACATACAGATCTCAAGTATATATTCTGGCCAGATGATTACATAACTGGTCCAGCACATGTTGGTTGCACCAGGACAGGACCGGGCTTCGTACGTAATTATTTGTACGTTTATATAAATATCTGCATATATAAATTTTAACTGACCAACTTGAGAATATTTTAATCTCAGATTTGTAACTGCCTTACTTACCTTACTCAGGACAATGTAGGACTACTTGATTATCAAAATTAAGTCAATATTCTATGATTACATCTATGGAGATTCTCAGTCATCCAGGTCATGGTTGTCCCAAAGGTGCTTTTTCAAGAAGCAAACTAGACTTTGTTTTTCTTTAAAGACGTTTCACTTCTCATCCAAGAAGCTCAGAACTGAAGAATCTTCTTGGATGAGAAGCGAAACGTCTTCAAAGAAAAACAAGAAAGTCCAGTTGCCTCTTGAAAAAGCACCTTTGGGACATTCTGTGATACCATGATTACTTTATTGTTACTAATATCATTGCCCCAGAGTTAAGACTGGCCCTAATCCTATTGGCAAAATTTAATTTTACCATCGGGCCTGAGGATCCCATGGAAGGGTGGAGCCTGTTGTCTTGATTGCATTGTGTAAAAGTTTGAATGCCCCCTCTCCTGTCTTTTGATCATTAGGGTTTTTTAACTGTTTTTAATGCTTATGTTTGAATTATGTTGATTGTTTAGCTTTGTGGTTTAATTACGTATGCCATTCAGATTCACATGTGTAAGATGGACAACTATATAAATTAAATAAATAAAACAAGACACACGATTCTTAAATAGCCAGGGCAATCACCTCTCAATTTTTGTTAAATATTTTTCGATGACTGTAAGCTATATGGACACAATGACATTAGCAAAGAGGGAGAGTTTTTCTTATAGATTGTGCATTGGGGTTTCTTTCTATGATTAATAACCTAAACAAATGTTTACATGCTTCACTTTTGCTCTTTTCCACCAAAATGCACCTACTTCTCTGTGGAGAAATAGTTTTGTCAGCCATCTCTATTCTAAAATATTTACCAAATCACCCCAAATTCATTTACACAAGGATATATATTTTCACTGGATGGAGACAGAGATCATCACAATCAACTTTCAAATAGAGTCTTAATTATACAAGTAGACAATATTCAGACTACAGACAAAGCAAAACCAAAATATACAATCCACTATTCATATTATATTACCAGATTCAGAAAATCCAGTTAGGCTACATTTGAAATCAATTCAGTAAAGAAGTAATATGTAAACTTCTCAAGTTTTCAACAACTTGTGTAATACATTTGGTGAACTTTTATTTCCTGATCTGTTTAGTAAAACAAGGTATCTCTACAATTTTGGAGAAGAAATAACAATGACATGTATTTAAAAAGACATCAAAACTTCCAGTTGAGAATTTCAGTGCAAAAAAACCCAAGCCCCACAGTGGGAGTATTGTATCACTGTATAATTATGTACTGTCTTACTGTTAAATCAACACAAAGAGTTGTTGCATTCTTAAAAAAAAAATACGGTAAGTTGTTTTGCTGCTTTCTCAGACCCATTAACGTGGCATGTAGCCTCTCAGATTTGACTACATAATTTTACTAATTGATAAACAATGAAATTCAGATAGCTCCGGTCCTCAGTTATTTCCATACATAGCTGTTAATGATAATTTCCATGTAAATAGAAAAGAAAAACAAAAAAAGCAAATTTTAAAAAATCTCCAAAACAACCTATAATAGACAGCAAACCAATGACAAGAGGTATTGGAGGCAAAAATTGTAAAGGCTTGGTGATAAAATGGCATTGAACAGGAGAATTACCTCCTGTCAGTCTTTCCCCCCCACCAGTAAAAAAAAAAAATGAAATGGGGACATGTTGGGTTAGTACAAAAACTATAATTTCTGCTCTGCCCTCGTATCAAATGTTGTCTTCTTCATTTAACTGACAGCTCTGTTTTTTTTTCATTATGCATTGTCTTTTACTTTTTGCAGCAAAACAAACGAGGAAGAAAAACGTGAATAATTATTAGCCAAAACAGACAAAAAAAATATTTGAAAAGATGGTAACATCAATTCTTAGATGAAATGAATGGTTAAAAAAGAAAAGAAATAGCCACAACAGAAAAAAAGCTGCACAAAATAGTAATTTTTTTTTTCTTTTTCCACCCAGAATTTCTTGTGTTTTTGCTTACCCTAGCGAAGGATGAAACTCTGCAGTGGCTTGGGTTTGGCTTTAGCCAGAAACAATGGTGGCAGACATTTTTCATTTCCCGGGGGAAAAGGTTACAGGTCTTCAGGATTGGGGTTCTTTTTTTTTTTTTTTTTTCCAAGTTGGGGAAAAAGATACCCACGGGTAAATCGGGGGAGTTGTGAATGAGGAAATTACGTTCTGCGAGGAAAGTATTGCTAAGCATTTTTCCATAGATGATCATTTAAGTGCAAAACCTTCTCCGCAGTTCAGGGAAGAGGATTTAAACCTGTTTGCCAAATTCAGTTATTCTACCGCGTTTCGTTGCCTTCACAAATCACGCACAATTAATTTAAATCTGCAACATTATATGACTTTAAACCAGAATCTGTACATTATAAACTTTGGCGGAGAGAAAAACCCACAAGGTCTATTTCAATCAAAATCTATCATTCTTTTGGTATTTTGACCCAAACTGCCAACAGCCATCTATCTGCGCTGGAGACAAGGACCCAGGACCCATTCACTGTTCAACAGGTGTAGCTTCTTCCTCTTCTTCGGCCTCCTGCTTCTCAGGAGGGGCTCCAAGGGGAATCAGATACTGTATCTCCTCACTGCTGACTGCCACCTTCTCTGGTTGAAGCCAACGTTTCAGGTATTCCAAAGTACTGAGAAGAAGCAGAAAAGAAAAGGTTACAAGAGCAATTCACAGTAAATAAATTATTCTCCAAAACACTTGAGGGCAGGACAAGAAGCAACGGATGGAAACTAATCAAAGAGAGAAGCAACCTAGAACAGTGGTGGCGAACCTATGGCACGGGTGCCAGAGGCGGCACTCAGAGCCCTCTCTGTGGGCACGCGTGCCGTCTCCCCAGTCCTAGGCCTTCAGCTGGGTTTTATAAAACCTTTTCGCTTTAGGCCTCCACCTCTGTGTGCAAAAAACAAAAAAAAGGTTCAATCAATTAGTCAATTTCAACTTTTAGCGGGAAAAAAAATCTTGCAAAGTTGGAATTGATTGATTGAACCTTTTAGTCCCACCCAGTCTGCCGTTACCACCGCAGCCACGCCCAGCCAATGGGCCACGCCCAGCCAATGGGCCACACCCACCCGGCACTTGACAATGCGTAAGTGGGTTTTGGGTTACAGTTTGGGCACTCGGTCTCTAAAAGGTTCGCCATCACTGACCTAGAACTAAGAAGAAATTTCCTGACAGTTAGAACTGCCTCCAGAAGTTGTGAATGTTCCAACACTGAAAGTTTTTAAGAAGAGACTGGACAGCCATTTGTCTGAAATGGTATAGGGTTTCCTGCCTCAGCAGGGGACTGGACTAGATGACCTCCAAGGTCCATTCTATTCTATTCTATTCTATTCTATTCTATTCTATTCTATTCTATTCTATTCTATTCTATTCTATTCTATTCTGACGTAGAAAATATGGTGCCCGAAGGCACCAATAAAGACTTTAGATTAGTCCATCAGGCTTCCTCCACCCAAGCAAACAGAACCACAATTAAGTTGCTAGTGTGCTTCAGCAGATCAGGGTCTGACAAAGATCATAGAAAGATAGTTTCTTTCTGGGGAAAAAGATGGTTTGTGACTGTCCATATCAACCATTTTTGTCAGCAGGCAAATCTCCGAAGGCAGTTATTTTCTGAATATGACCACTAGGTTCGCTTCAAGCTTCAAATGGATCTGTAGCTGAGAAAGACTAATTACCCCCGAAACAGGCAATGATTAAATTATTCATTTATGTAAGCAAGGGCAGAATCTGTTTCTGAAAGATACCTTCTCTAAAAAAAATCCAGTGGAATTCCCATTTGGAAACCATGGAAAACCATGATAGATTACGGGAATTAGGCCATTAGGGTTTGGAAACTATGGTTAGCAACTTATCACAACGCCTGCTACAGTAATCATAGCATACTTAATAATATGATTAAACAAATTACTACTTGGTGAACCAGGTCACTTCTGCAATACAAGTTACAGGTAATCCCCAAGTTACAAGCGTTCACTTAACGCTCGTTCGAAGTTACGCGATAAGCGCCCCCTAGTGTTTATGAGAAAATCCCAAAATTATGAATGTTTCAGCACCACAGCCGTTGTTCACCCTTACGAACAACTGTAGAGGCTCTGCAACATTCACTCTTCCCCCCCCCACTCCCAATTGCTTCCCTCTCCCTTCCTGCCAAGCCAGACTCATCTTGAGAAGATCTGTCTCCTGTCTGCTGCAATTTCTGCCTTTGAGGGAGAGGAGAGTCAATGGAAGCTCCTGGATGCCGTAATATCGCGCAAATTCAGGCACCCATCCTCTTTTGCAGAAAATGGATACTCTTGTGAGATCACAGACCCCAGAAACTTTCATTTTCGGCACAAACTCTTGTGCCGGTCTCCTGCTCCCCCCAACTCCTTTCCACCGCCACCAGAACACTTTTTATCCGAATGGAGAACTTAGGTAGATAGGGAGCTCCATCTGTGTGCAAGTGCAACGCTTGAAAACGCAATGATTTGCTGCATTTCCAAGAGTCCCTAGGCGCTCAAGCGCTTTTTATCCAAACGGAGACCTTGGGGATATGTGGAGCTCCATCTGTGTGCAAATGGAACGCTTGAAAACGCAGAGATTTGCTGCATTTTCAACCACCCCATTTGCTAACAGACGGAGCTCTCCATCTCCCCATTCGGATAAAAAGTATTCCGGTAGTGGCGGAAAGGAGTTGGGAGGGAGCAGGAGAGAGGCACAGAGTTTGCGCTGAAAATGAAAGTTTCTGGGGTCCGTGATCTCGCGACCGTTCAGGCTCCCATTCTCTGCAAAAGAGGATGGGTGCCTGAACTCGCGTGATTTTACAGCATCCAGGAGCTTCCATTGACTCTCCTCTCCCTCAAAGGCAGAAACCGTGGTAGAGAAGAGACAGATCTTCTCAAGTGAGTCCGGCGCGGCAGGAAGGGAAGGGGAAGCATGAGGTATCTTAGTGGGTCGGGGAGGCCTTGGGGGCCTGTTCCATCATTAGGCCCCCTATGGCCTTCCCCACCCTGAGATACCTCATGCTCATTCGCCACATATTCGATTAGTGAATGCATGGGTGAAAGCAGGGAGTGATCTTATTCAAGATATGAATACTCGAGTTACGAGTAGAATGGGCAGGCTCCATTACATTCGTAACTCGAGGACTATCTGTAGTTCACGGGGTTATTGTGAGAACGCAATAGGGAGAAGAAGCACCTTAAAAGCCTTGACTTTTTTGAAGATAGGCAGGGTATAAATGGAAACTCTGTAAATAAATAAACAAGGTAGGAAAACCATGTAAAATATAGCTTTAGGAATTTTCCAATCCCTTAATACTATTAACAGGACAACTGTGGGTCATATGACCAGGAGTAAGCGGGCTTAAGAATGGAAAAATCAGTAGCATTCCAAGCTACTGAGCAACTACTGCACTGGTGAATTTTCTTCTGGATGTTCTTTTTTTCTCTACCATTTTTGGTTTCATCAAGATTGATCTTTGTTTTTCCGGTTTCTACCTCCAAGGGAAATCTGTGCGGTGCTCATTCTTTTCAGCTTTTAGAGAGCTAGTTTGTTGATGGAAAGAAAGAGTCCTGAACCTCTTTAGAAAATTTCTAAATGAGCTAAAGATCATTTCTTTAGATCAGGGGTAGTCAACCTTGGCTCTTTTATGACTCGTGGACTTCAACTCCCAGAATTCCTGAGCCAGCACAGCTGGCTCAGGAATTCTGAGAGTTGAAGTCCACGAGTCATAAAAGAGCCAAGGTTGACTACCCCTGCTTTAGATATTTTGATGGTCTGGAAAGCTTAAGAAAATAAACAGTGGCTGCTGGATTATACCCTGGACCATACAGTCCAGCAGTCTATCCTCACAGTGTCCAACCAACCGCACAAGGAAGCCTCCTGGTCTCCCAGCAGATGGCTTTCAGAAGCAGCCCCCCCCTCCCATCAAGACTAGTAGCCATGGAAACCCCTGATTTCCATGAATTGGTCCAACTCTTTTTTTGGAACCTGCCAAGATGGTAGCCAGCAGCATATTTTTTGGTGGCATATTCCAAAGTTTAATTACACATTGAGTGATGTTCCGATTCTTCCAGGATTCAATTTCATTGGGTGACATCTGATTCTAGCATTTTTGGAAAGGGAAATAAATGAGCTTGTCTTTTCCCACTTTATCCACACCATGAATAATTTTGTAAACCTCAATGTTTGCAACCTTTCTAGACTAAAAGCGCTAAATGCCACAACTTTTGCTTATAGGGCAGTTGCTCCAGCCTTTTGATCACCTTAGGTGCCCTCCTCTGAACCTTCTCTAACTCTTCTATATCTTTTTTTTGAGATGTAGTAACCAGAACTTCACACAACATTCCAAATGCAGTCATATCATTGATTTATACATAGACATAATTATATTAGCATCTCTATTTTTCAACAACATTTCTTATTATCGTTAACATGTTGTTGGCCCCCCCTTTTTTTTTACAGCAGATGCACACTGTGTGTTGACACTTTTATTGAACAAGAACCAAAGAATCTGTGGCTGAATCTTGAAGCTACAAATCCAAGCACAACTTATTTGAGAATCAGGGTCAAGAAGGATGAATTGAGTGAAGATTAAATCGATACTGCACTGTCTGTCTGTTGCCACTGGCATCTGACTTCATAAAACATTAGTTGTCAAATAGCTGACAAAAATGCAGCAAAAATTTAAATGTAGCTAAACTTATTTAAAGCATTTTTCTTAAGCCGAAGGGACTTTTCAAAGTAGATTACAGAAAACTCAGACTAAACTGCTTTCAGATCAGTCCTACAACCAAAAGTCAGAGGATGTAAGGAAAGGGATTAGGAAAAATATAATGGGCTCAGTTGCCGAGAAGGACGAAAGATAAGCATTCTGATCTAACTACAGTGACCACCTAATCACAACTAGTACTGGCTTGGCTTTTTTCCTAGCCCTTTTCTTTCTTCACTTGTCGTGTTTCTCTTTTCTGTTCTTGAGAACAAGCTTATCTTTCTCTTTCCCTCTTCCTTTAGAGCAGGGGTAGTCAACCTTGGCTCTTTTATGACTTGTGGATTTCAACTCCCAGAATTCCTAAGCCAGCACGGCTGGCTCAGGAATTCTGGGAGTTGAAGTCCACGAGTCATAAAAGAGCCAAGGTTGATTACCCCTGCTTTAGAGCAGTGGTTCTCAACCTTTTTAATGCCGCGACCCCAACCAGTCGTAAGTCGAGGACTAAACCGGTCATAAGTCGAGGACTAAACCGGTCATAAGTCGAGGACTAAACCGGTCGTAAGTCAAGGACTACCCAATCGGTCATAAGTCGAGGACTTTCCCTGCCCGGGAGCGCCGCGCATGTGGGGTTCAGCCCCCTGCGCTGGCCGAGGCATAGCTGGCAAGCGGCAGAGACGGAGCAGGCCGACCACCAGCTGGCCCAGCCCAAGGGAGGTAAGGCACCCACCAGAACGGGGGGGAAAATGGCGGACAAAAAAATGGCGGACAGCCTTGCTTGGCGACCCCCATGAAATGGTCGATCGACCCCAAATGGGGTCCCGACCCACAGGTTGAGAACCACTGCTTTAGAGAAAGATGACTCCCTTGAAGACTCTCCCGAGTGCCAGTAGAATACAAGCTCTTTTATGATTTATATTATTAGGACACGAGTCTGGTCTGGCAAACTATTTTGTGCATTTTCCCCCCAGGGGGTGGTGATGCACACATTTCCCCCATGCAAGTCTTTAAATGTATTTTTCAAAGGAAAAGAAAAACTACCATTTCCACTGGGGTATCTCTTTTTTCAAACACTGTGGTTCACAGATTTTTGATTAAAGCAAGACAAACACTAGAAATAAGACAAACACTAAGATCTGACAAACACTATCAAGGCTTTGCTTGATACTAATCTTGTTTATGCTGATGCAAAGTCTCATGGGAGAAGAGCCCCCACATTTACTCCCTATAGAATTCATAACAGATTTTACACACCCGCACACACGTAATGGATAATAACAACTTAAGTTTCTTATTTAAATAACGTTTCTGCCATGAACATTCAAAAAAACATACAAAATGTCAAGAGCCAAATCAGGATGCCTCTCCCACAGGACTGTAATTTAACAAGTCTGTACAAAAGTGAAAAAGAAAACATTTACTTTTGAAACCAGATTTCCCAGGTAACGGGGCACAGTAACTGCTAAGCAAAATCAAAGAGAAAATATAGAACTGGGTTTTTTGTTTTTGTTTTTTGCAAACTAGAAGGTAACAGCTTGCTCATTATTTCAATTTTCCTGAACAAAAACTTCGAAATGTAAAATGCAAGTTGAAAATGTGCAGGTTTCACCCAATATAATAGAATTCTTTATTGGCCAAATGTGGTTGGACACACAAGGAATTATGTATTCCAATAGCATGCTCTAATTTATTATTCACTAGTTCAGGCCCATTTTTCCAAACCCCTACAGGAAAAAGAAAAGGTTGCAATAAAACGAAACAACTTTGGCTATTACATGCTAGTACAAACAGTCTCACTGGTTTTAAAAATACCAGTCAGACTTCTAACCAAAACTGAAACAAAGAAATATCAACTTAGTTGCTTAGAACTGAGGAAGAGCAGTAGGGAAGCCATTTTAAAAAAAGCCAGAAACATGGAAAAGCCAGCAATGTATTCAGGAAAGCTGGGGGGGGGAGGAGTGAAAGGGGTGTGTTTTTGCAAAAGATGTAAACAAAAATGTAAGCTATACAGATAGTCCTCAACTTACAACCACAATTGAGCCCACACTTTCTGTTGCTAAATGAGACATTTGTTAAGTGAACCTTGCCCCATTTTTCAACCTTTCTTGCCATAGTTGTTAAGTGAATCACTGCAGTTGTTAAGTTAGTAAGTGAATCTGGCTTCCCCATTGACTTTGCTTGTCAGAATGTCAAAACAGGGGATCACATGAACTTGGGACACAGCAAAGGTCATAAATGTGAACCTGTTGCCAAGCATCTGAATTTTGATCACACGACCATGGGAATGCTGCAAAGGTTGTAACTTTGAAAAACAGTCATAGGTCACATTTTTCAGTGCTGTTGTAACTTTGAACAGTCACTAAATGAATTGTAAGTCAAGGACTACCTGTATACCTAAGTGGATATATAAACTTTTATTTTTATTTTTAAAAAGAAGGACTTTAGGAGAAGTGCAGAATAGCAGATACTGTAAGTGCCGAGAAACTGGAATCTTGACTTCATGTATAGAACTAAAATAAAAAAGGAGGAGACTAATCATATAGGGATTACCCAGTTAATGAAGGATAAAGATATTTTGAAAACAAACATCAGAACAGTTAAAACAGTATTCCTCAACCTTAGCAATGTTTAGATGCCAAGGCTGGCTGGAGAATTCTGGGAGTTGAAGTCCACACATCTGCACATTGCCAAGGATGAGAAACCCTGAGTTAAAACAACAGTCTTTTCAAAGGTTTTCTAGTAATTGAGCATTGAGAAAGAATTAAAGAAAGAAAGCAGATAGTTTTGAATTACAAATTTGTAATTAATAATTAAGAGAATGTTGGATTGCAACAAGAACCAATTAATCAACAACAAAGTCACCTCAAACCAATGAGCAGCAAACAGAAACTTTAAACTTTTGGACTTATGTTATAAGCAGGCAATGAACTAAATAATATGCTTTGCTGATCTGAAGGGAATATTACAGATAAGGTGGACGAAGAGGATCAAAAAACTTAGTAGAGCTACAGGTTATACAGAGACATGGTGAGATGGTGAGTATTTGTCCAGAGAGACTCCTGATGAACCAGGAGTCAAGCTTGACTTAATGGCATATAACTCACAAAGTATCCAAAACACATGCCATCACTGCCCCAGATTAGCTACAAATATTAGTCCTAATCTTGCACATGTGGAGATGGGTAGACATTTTTGGTTGGGATAAATAAGTAAGACATATTCTTTGAATTCAATTGGAGCTCCTTCTAAGCATATTTTGAGCTGGTTTTTATCACTAAAAACATCTTTAGATGCATCAAAAGCCAGTAGAGCAGGGGTGTCAAACTCGCAACGTCACATGATGTGTCACGACATATCGCGACTTTTTTTCCATTGCCGGCAATGGGGTGGGCGGCGGTTTCGGCATGACGCATCCTGCCCGCGGGCCGGCAGTTTGACACCCCTGCCCTAGAGTATAAATAAATGCTCCAGAATATCCTTTCTCCCACAATACTTGCCATTTCTATAAGACAAATATTTCAAAGGGGTGTTCTGTATAAAATCTTTATTACATAGCATTACCTCTCATCAGAATCCGTTCCCTCCATATAAAAGTCAGATTCAGAGTTCTCCTGCAGAAACCTGTCCCAGCTTTCTTTCTTAGCCTGAGAAAGTGTATGAAGGATATCTTTGGATGTCAGTTCCTGAGACAAACCCTTTATTCTCATTAATCTTCTCTCTGAGGAAAGAAATAAAAATGTAAATGTTCGTTTGTTCAAAATCTTAAATCTCCGAAAGTTCTTCACCGATTGCTTTGAAATTTTGACACAATGTTGCATTCGAATATGCGCGTGTTTTTATATACCTACTATTATATAGATGTCACACCTGTGACAGGTAAAAACATGATATATTACAAACGTGCACTTTCTCTTTTCTTTCTTTTCCATTTAACCAGACTGAGCCACAGCAACACGTGGCTGGGTACAGCTAATAAACTAATAAAGGAAGAATGCAAACCAGTGGCCAGGTTAAAGCGAGAAATATTCAGTTCAACTCTTGAGGTTTTGTATAAATTGTAACAATTTTAAAAGAGTTTATACCCTGACAGAGCCTTTTAATGTCACAGCTTCATGTCAGAGCTTTATTTTGTTGGGGATTGGATTAAAAAAAATATCAGCATGGAACAAGCCATTGTTTAATTTTTTTTCTTTTACTGCCCCAAATCCAAATTAGAATATGAATTTGAGAAACCTGTGCGCCAAAATGGCATTTATATTTAAAGAAGAAAGGATTTTACTTTCCCTTAAGAATCATGGCTCACGGTTACTCCTACAAATATTTGAGATGAGAAAACTGACAGATGATTATATGCAGAGCAGGCAAGAAAAAAGTGGAATAGAAATCTTTATAATCTTTAGGAATTTCATCCGCATTAAGAAAAACGCCCATTCTTCTTTTTCCCAATTGGCTGATAGGTTAGATTTCACTTTTTTCAACATGTAAATTGTTGAAAAAAATGATAACTTCAGTTATATTTCTCACAGAGTTTCATCAAAAAACAAATTAGATAAAATGGGCAGTGATTTTTCTTTCACATCTCTGTAAAATCTCAGGTAGGAAAATATGATATACCTTATTGCCACAAATCTTAAAAATAAAATGGGAATCTTTTTGTTGTCACAGAACATTGGACAACATCCAGAAAAACGTGAAAGTACAATAATCACTTATGCAACCGATGAATTTCACAGATGTATTGTTTAAAAAGTGCATCTGTATCTAGCTTAAAGACTTTGTCCATAATCCTTCAAAGCAGTGGTTTTTTTTAATATAGCTTGACAAGTTTAAGATGTATTTCAAGTCCTGGAATTCCTCAGCCAAAATGCTGGCTGCGAAATTCTAGTCCACACATGTTTAAGTTGCCAAGTTTGAAAAACACTGCTTTAAAATTATACACAAATATGTGTTCAAAAAGATAGTTTACATATGGATAGATTCACAAGTCTCGGTTCTAGAATCTAGATCAGGGGTAGTGAACGTTGGCTCTTTTATGACTCGTGGACTTCAACTCCCAGAATTCCTGAGCCAGCTAAGCTGGCTCAGGAATTCTGGGAATTGAAGTCCACGAGTCATAAAAGAGCCAAGGTTGACTACCCCTGATCTAGGTGATCGTTATCTGTAGCTGGGATGATAGGATTCAAAGTCTCACACTTCCAGGTTGAGGAAAATATCCTGTGAATAAGCCTGGATTAGAAAATACTTCCATACTGACCTAAAGATGCCAAGTAGACTTCTGAATCTTTCAGTGGTACCCAGGGCTTCCCATTCATTTGCAAAGAGGGGCCTTTTGCTTCCATCTGATTCTCCATCACGTGAAGATAAGAATCTGCAAAGGAATCTGAAAATGCATTATTGGATTCTTCATTCTGGTCTGGATGTGGCAGAGATGAACAAATTTCAGTCCAGAGGTCCTGGCTGGAAACAGTAACCAGAGAATCAACACTTTCAATCATGATCATGATGCAGCAATTCTGAAAAAGAAGAAAGAAAGAAAATGATGGGTATGGATATATTGACATATATCTTTTTTTTGTTGTTGTTTTACTTTGGGACCAGAAGTAGAGCAACTTTTTTTTTAAAAAGCAGATGTTTAAATTTTCTCAAAACTCTATGCACTTAAAATTCTTGGTGCCAATTTATCTGCTGTAGTACATACAAAACTTTGCTGGCTGTTCTCTTTTTTCCAAGTCTTTATAATCAAAATGCTCAGGGAATTTTCTACAGAAAAAGATTCAACTTTAAACATCTGGGAAGAAAATATTATAAACTGAAAATAAATTCTTAAATATTTATGACTCCACAGGAAATTAGCCATTTTAGAGCTGGATTACCTGCATAATAAGCTTTATTTATTTGTGTTCTGTCTTCATTATTTTTTACAAATAACTCAAGGCAGCGAACATATCCAATGCACCTTCCTCCTATTTTCCCCACAACAACAACAACAACCCTATGAGGTGGATTGGGCTGAAAGAGTGTGACTGGCCCAAAGTCACCCAGCTGGCTTTTATGGCTATAACAGGACTAGAACTTTCTAGCCTGGTGCCTTAACTACTAGACAAGCTGTATTCGTTGTTTTAAAATTTCTAATAGAAATCATGTATCTTTTGTTGGTAAAACAAGTTGGCCCAAAGGACAGATTGGGTCTATCTAAAACATTAGTGGGCATGAAAAAGTGAAAAAATACTTGCTTTTTATGTATATTTTATTAATTTTTTACAGTAACAATCTTTAGTATTTAATAAGCAACACGTTGTCTGGGTTTATGTGTTTAAGATTAATAGTAATACAATTTCCATTCCTACCCTTTATTCCATTTTTCTAACCATTTATAAAAATATTTCCCATGTTTGAAAGTATTCTGAGTCTTGCCTCCCCTTCATTTTCAATGTGAGCCTACCCATTTCTGCACAGTCCAAAATTTTCTTAATTAAGTCTTCTTCAGATAGTATTTCTTCATTTTTCCAGTATTGAGCAAATATAATTCTCGCTGCTGTTAATATATGTAATATTAAGTATACACTTTTCTTATCATAATTTTCTGAAATTGTGCCTAAAAGAAATAATTCCGGTTTATAGTCTACATGTGCTCCTATAATCTTTTCTAGCCACCTATGTATTTTTGACCAATAGTTCTTTGCTTTAGGGCATGTCCACCAAAGATGATAATAAGTGCCTGGATTTTGTCTGCATTTCCAACACATTTTTAAACATTTTTGCTAAATCTTGCAGGTGGTAAGTGCCATCTATAGAACATTTTATATAAATTTTCTTTATAGGTAGCTGCCCTTGTTATTTTGTAATTTCTTTCCCATAGGTTTTGCCATTTTTCTAACTCTACATGTGCCCAAAGTTTTTTGCCCAAGTTATCATTGTTTCTTTAACTTGTTCATCTTCTATTTTTAATTTAACAGAAAGCTGTACAGTTTCTTAATCAACTTGTCATCTGATGACAATAGTATTTGGTCTAACGTTATCTGGTCTTTGTGAAAACCATATATTTTTGCATCTTTCTCATATCTCATTTGCATTTGCAGGTGTGGCCACCATGATAGCTCAATGCCCTGTTCTTCCAATTCTTGTTTAGTTTGTAGTGTTCTATCAATATTCAAAATATCTTTATAAGTCACAAGTTTCTTATAATTGATTAAATTTGGGTGTACAAACACCTCCATTGTTGAAATCCATCCTGGTATTTTCATGTTAAGTTCTTGATTTTATCTTTTCCTATGTCAAAAGCAGTGCATAGTGGTTTTGAAAGTATTTATGAATTTTGTTCTTCCCATACCATAGGAAAGCATGTCATCCTATGCATGCCATCCTACTAAAGCATGCCATCCTACTAATTTTAGCCATTGTCTATCCACTACTGGATGAAGGCCTCTTCCACATGTTTCCAACCAATATGGTCTTGAGCTTTCTTTTGCCAATTGGGCCTGCAATACTTACTGATGTCGTTGATCCATCTTGTTTTGGGTCTCTTTTGTGGACGCTTTTTATGACTGCCTTAGTCCCCTTGCTATGAATTCTTCTTGCTATGTGACCAACCCATTTCCATTTCAATTATTTTACTCTTTTGATCACATTGTATATTTGCATTTGTTCTCTATTCCATGTGCAAGAGTTTCTATCTTGTCTTGTGATGCCAAGTAAGTATCTTTCCGTGTGCCATTTGTAGCTTTTGTATCAATCGTGAGGTTAGTGTCCATGTTTCGCTAGCATATGTTAGAATAGGTAGCAGAACTACTACCACCACCACCACTATTACTACTACTACTACTACTACTACTACTACTACTACTAATAATAATAATAATAATAATAATAATAAAAGCTGACCATTACCTAAATGAGGAACATCATCTGTAGGCATAGCACCAGGGCAGTGTTTATCAACCACAACTTGTGTGGACCTCAGTTCCAGAATTGTCCAGCTAGCAAATGAACCAGCATTCCCCAGTCCACACATCTTAAAGTTGCTAAAGTTGCAAAACACTGCACCAGAGACTTCCAAGACAAATCTCTGATATAATGTAGGTATCATAGACTGTGACAAAATCAAATGCCAACTTCTTATAAAATATGTATTTATGAACTGTGGCAAGCTGTTAAATACTTTCAATTGAATATTTTGGAAAGTTTTGAGTACTCAATGATATTGCTGCCATAAAATTGGAAGGGGCTTAAGCCTTCAATTTTAGCTTCTCTTCCATGCAGAAATCCGATTTGGAGATCCCCAGCAGATGGCTCTATTAACCCACCTGAACATTCCCAAGAACATGAGTTCACCACCTCCCTCAGGAATTTGGTTCTGCTGTGCAAAATTCACTCCTACAGTGTTGAGGTTTTTCCCTAATTTCCAACTTTACAGTCCTCCAGATGCGGTTAGCAATTCAAAAGTCCCAATCACACCGACCGGGAATTCCGAGTGTTGCAATCCAGAACAGCTGGAGACTGTGTTGCTATCCTGGAAAAAGTAACTGCCATAAAAGCCTTTCAGCTTAAAAAAAACGGCTTTGAAAACCCTGAATGACTTGGGCAATAAAAAAAAAAACATGATACAGACACATCGCGTGCCCCACCTACCAAGAGAGCTGCATTGCCAAAATAGCACTGATGCGCCAATCTCGAGACACAGAAACGTAAGGCCTTCAACAATGATCTTTCCAGGTGATCCCTGGAATGGGATCCCTCCCATTCTGCACCGCAATGGGTTTTTGCCCTATTTTCCCCCCCTCCCGCGCGCGACTTGATCTGCGGCTCCGATTCTCCCTACCTGGATGCATAAACCTGCTCCTGGTGCGAGTCAGAACCCGCCAAGAGAAAAAGAACAGAGCGAGCGGGTCTCTCTCACCTCCACGCTGGCCAATTGGCGAAGAGAGCAGGGACGGAGGTAAGAAAAACCATCGATTCCCCCAACAATTAAAGATGGATCGCGGTTGATTGGCATTCCTATTTAACTTCCGGTTCCGTATGGCCCGTTGTGGCATCGTCCATGTGCGGGAGAGGAGCGCTGGAAAGACAGACCTCAAAGAAAGTTAGGGGGAAACATTAAATCCGAGCGCTGTTCCCAGAGGTAAGAAGAGAGCATATTCATCCAGGGAGAAAAAGACCAGACTTATTTCGCAGAAAAAGTGAGTTCTTTAATCTTGCTGAGGAGCTTCACTTCGATTGTTTTGGCTTCAGAGCCCTCAGCCCGCATATGGAGACGCCTAAGACGAGCAACGGAAGTGGCAAACGTCATGTGTTTAGTCTATCTCTTTAAAGTAACGAAGCCTCTTCTCCATGTAGTTGAAGGCGACATCTTGGAACCGGGCATTACTTGGGGCGTTTGCGTTAACTCCGTTTTGGAATTCCCGAGATACGAACCGTAGCTTTTTCCTCCTCCTTTCTAGTGTTATGTAACAAACTGGAGAGGGTGGGGATATGCCTTTAGGTTTACTGCGTTTGCACAGAGGAATCCTTCCTGTCGCTTCGTGCTGGTGGGTGTTTTGAGAGGTCCTAACTGCTCAGGACCACTGGTGAAGGGGTAGTCTGGTTCAGCGTGTGGTGTGAAAGCAGAGAACTAGCTTAGTTGAGTTCATCGTGGGCAAGTATAGCATGAGAGCACAGCTTCCGATTCAGCATATAGTTTTGGGTTTGCTGTGCTAAAATAAATTGTCTAGCTTTGTCAATGCAGGAGGAAGGAAGGCTTGAAGCAGTGTGCCTCAAACTGGACAACTTTAAGATAGGTGGATTTCAACCCCCAGAATTCCCCATGGATGGTTGCTAAGTTTCAGCAATACTGGCCTAAAGAATACTATAAAGTCAGCAGATGAAGTTTCCTGCAGAGGGAGTTGCTAGGAAAGTTGTCCTGGAAGGGGCTTCTCTAAACAGTCTTTTACTGTGCTGGAGGAAAACTGAGAAAGGCTTACATGCCTTTGACTTGAGAAGGGGTATCAGCAGGAACTTGGCTTCTAAAGCAGATAAAATAATTTAAGCAGAGTTTGGAAGCTGAGGCTGAAAGGCAACATAATAATTTTGGGGAGGGGTCTGTGTTTTGGTGACTAGCTAGAACTTTCAAATTATCTTCCACAGCTGTTTGGCATAAAAATAGTTAAGTTGCATTTATAAAATGCACAATACCTGCTGAAATGAAATGGTGCTAAAGATCCTTTATTGCAATGATGCTAATTCTAAAATTCAGAGTTGGATTGATATGGTATGACCAACCAAAGGATTACAAGTGAATAAGCTTCTGAATTCATTGCCAGTCTCTCTCTGGTAATATGAAACTCTCTATTTACTTTGAACTTCAGCAGCAAATGTGTTTTTTTATTTATGCATGCCTCTGGACATCTATTATTAATCTTAGCTGCTTTCTGGTTGATGTAGGATTTTGTTTCTATAAAGTTTTATTTAAACATCTTTTGCTTCCTCCTTTTTTTAAAAACCCCACTGTGACTGGCTAGGAAGGATTGGGAACATTTATGTGCAATGAACTATTTGCTGCCTTTTTCTGTTTTGCTAATGGGACTGTTGCCAACGAGAACTATGGCTTGGACCTCAACTGGGAAGACGCATGCTGAACTGATCAACAATCTGTATAGTGAGTACAAACAGCAGTTTACATTCAGGACAGACTTCTAAAACACTGCTGAAGTACCTGGCTATTTTTCATAATTAACAATTCTGGTGGTCTGGTAAATTAAGAATGTCTTTTAACAATTATATCAAATGGAATAGCACAATATTGAAATGTTAAATAGACTAGGGGGAGTTAAGTGATAGACAATCCACCACTTCCATTCTAAGGTGTACAGTATGATTCTTTCCCACCAACCTTTTTTTAAGGACAGAAAGTCCCAACTACATTAGGCAAAAAGACTTCCTATTTTCCTTTACAGTGGCCAAATGGTGATGATATACTTTTCTGTTTTTCTAAATAATTAATATTGAAGATAATATGTAACTATCATGAATAATGGTACTGATAACTTTATTATCCATTGACATTTAATTAGGGTTAAATGACCCAAGTTGAAAATTGTTACTATGTTTTGTAATGAATTCCAGTTATCTAAGGCTACACAAAAAATAATTTTATGCTAGTTCTAATATTATGAAATAGAGGAAAAATCTTAAGCTGAATTGTACTATTTGTAGGCTACTGGATTTCAGATATAGATCATATTCCCTGATTTATAATTTAATGGATGTTAAGAAGCTAAGAAATTAAGAAAACTAAATTATGATCTTAGTTTGACTTATAACTAAGATAATTCAGTATTCTTAGCTTTTTATAAAATCTAACATAAGCTATATACCAAGGAATATGATCTATATCTGACCTGTAGCTGCCTTGAGCTCGTCTCCGTTTTGTGACAGATATGCGGTTTATACTGTATAATAACTTGTATTCATTTCTCCCTGTAGAAAATGGTGTGATTAAATCTCAAAATGTTTATGATGCGATGCTGGCTACCGATAGAGCCCACTATACCAATTATTATCCATATATGGATTCTCCTCAATCAATTGGTAAGATCACAAACTATTAATAAAGAAATATCGCATATATTAGAGACCACATTATATATTGTTTTCATGCTTGTTTTCATGCTGTCCCAGGCCACTAAAAAGCAAGGTTTCATCCAGACTATTCTACAGGTAATAAAGGGAATATGAAGACTTTTTTTATTAAGTATATTTATTTTGTTTTATAAAAAGTAAAATATAAAACAGAAAAAAAACATATGTCCAGCTCTAACAACAAAGAAAAAAAATCGGTGTATAAAAAAAGAGAAAAAGGTGATCCAAATAAATTTAACATCTAACATACAGCATAGAATCCATCCCAGCTGGATGCTGAAAAAAAAAGAAAAAATAATAAATTATCCTCCCCTTTTACAAAGATATGTTTATATAAAAGAAGAAAGAGCGGTCAACAGGTTAAGCTAAACATTACACTAATCTTCAAATTGTTCTATTAACTATCTGTTATTGTATTTAGTGTGTAGAAAGTCCACAAACGATTTCCAGTCTCTTATAAAGCTGTCTAGTTTATTATCTCTGATCAAAGCAGTTAATTTCGTCATCTCTGCTAATTCAGTTAATTTTAAATCCATTCTTCAGCTGTCCCTTTTTCCTTCCAGTGCTTGGCAAGTACAATCCTTGCAGCTGTCACCATGTGAAGGAATAGCACCCCAAATTGTTTTTCATAATACCTAAAAGACAAGCTTCAGGTTTCATTAATATTTGTATCTTAAATATTTTCTGTATTGTCATTGTTATGCTTGTCCAGTATGTTTTCATGTATTTGCAAGGCCACCGCATACGATAAAATGAACCTGGATTTTGACTACATCTTCAGCACTTATTAGAAGTCCCTTTATATATTTTTGCTAGTCTGTCTGGAGTCAAATACCAACAATACATCATTTTATAAAAAATGTCTTTCAAGCTATAATTTAAGGTAAATTTTAGTCCATACATTCTTTCATTTAAGTAGCGTTATGTTATACCCATTTTTTTGCCCATTTTACCATACAGTCTTCAATGTATTCATCTTCCAGATTCATATTAACTAACATTTGATACACTTTAGCAGTCAAGTGGTCATCTCCTAATATGAAGACTTTAAACAAGAACCTTAATTCAGGAGTGTCCATAGTTCCTGAATCTACTTTGGGTAGCTCCAGAGTTGTTTCTGAAAGATCTAAAGATCAGTGGCATGATTATCTGCCAGTTTGAGCTGAAAATCATACAGATTGGGCTTCAAAGAGTTTTTTTTTAAATCCCTAAATATGATTCAGTGAAAAGCCTGAGAAAACAAAAACAAAAATCCTGCCCTTTGCAGTCCTTACCTTCTTAAAAACTATTACACCTGCACTAAAAGGTTGCTCACCATCTTACACTTTGAATTGCCTGGAAGGATTGAGAAAATGAAAGGTTTGTAATGTTGCTTGAATGATGGTTCTTAGCATGGGAAAAAAAAAACCTTTTATTGATGGTTTTATTTCAGGATACAAGGCTACCATCAGTGCACCTCACATGGTAAGACAGATTTTTATATTAAACAGTATATGAAGACATTCTTGCATTGAAAATATTTACTCAGTAAAGCAGAGAGACCACCAATGTAAGGCTTTATAATTTGCATTGTCAGTTTATTTCCATGCAGCTTACTCTGGCATTGCTATATAATATTTTTTGTAATAGAAGAAAATGGAATTTTATAACTTATAACTACAGAAAGTGCCCAGATGATTTGACCTAAGGCTGTATCCATATACACTGCCACTGAATTACGTATGAGGCCCTTCCTTGTGTCTTATATACATCATTAATCTACATCTTCTGAATAATTTTGTGTTCCATATTGGTACATCTCTCATTGAGGGATGTATATGACACAAATAAGTACAAATGCACGAAACTACGGGTAATCCTCAACTTCTCAGTTGAGCCCAAGATTTATGTTGCTAAGCGAGACATTTATTAAGTGATTTTTGCTCCATTTTATGACCTTCCTTGCCACAGCTGTTAAGTGAATCACTGCAGTTGTTAATTTAGTAACAGGGTTGTTAAGTGAGTCTGGATTCCCCATTGACTTTGCTTGTCAGAAGGTGGCAAAAGGTGATCACATGGCCCTGGGACACTGCAGCTGTCATAAATATGAGTCAGTTGCCAAGCGCCTGGAAGAATCACCAAGAGTTTTGATCATGTGATCATGGGGATGCCTCGATGGCTGTGAGAAAAACAGTCATAAGTCATTTTTTTCAGTGCCCTTCTAACTTTGTATGGTCACTAAATGAACTGTTGTAAGTCAAGGACTACCTGTATATCTGTACTACAGAAATCTGTCTGCCAGGACTAAATAATAAGCCTTACCAGAAGTAATTCAGAATATAGAGGCAAACCAGGGGGAGTTGGCAGTGAAGAAATCCAACTGTTCTCATTTGGAAACCAGGCACCTCTTCCTCAGGAAGAACAAAATCCTCTAACTAAAGAAATAAAAGAATTGAAACAAAGAATAACTGAGCATCTAGAACAGCACAAAAACAACAGAATAAGGCTGCCTGCATTGAAGCTTATTCCAAAGAAACAGCTAGCACAAGCATTAAAAGATGCAAATACTGCAATATCAAATATAAACACCAATTCACTGCAAGAAACAAACCAACTAATGTACAGCACAGCTGCAGTTATAACTGAATACCTGGGATGCAAAATCAACAAAGAAGAAAAACAAACAAACAGTGCACCACAAAAATGGAAGGTTAGACTAGAAAATAAGATCAGCAAGTTAAGATCACATGCAAGCAAGCTAGAACAGATGAAAGAAAAGAAGCTGAAGAACAAGAAGACCAAAGAATACCTAATCAAGAAATACCACTTAGAAACAAGGAAGATCAAGGAAGCACTGGAAATAATAAAGCAACAAATAACAGCTATAGCCAG